GGGTGCGCAGAAAAAATGAGGTCTTAATGGGAATGAAAAAAAGAGCTGGAGAGACTGGAGGGAGAAGCCAAAGGAGACTGGTTGAATGTAGACAAAGAATAATAAGAGAATGCTGATAGCAAAGCCCCCAACAAAAAGAGGAGATTGGGAGAATAAGACCAGGTTGTTGCAGGTGGGATGGAAGGAGGAAGAATGAGTACTTGTTGGGTGTGTTGAGTCTGAAGTGCTGGCAAAACATCTAGGTGGAGATGCCTAGTAGGTAGTTGTGTCTAGGGCTTGCAAGGGCAGTCAAAGCTCAGTTGCCCCAAATACCAGAGAGATGATGCTAAAGACAACAGGCCAAGAAATGGCCCAAGAGTTTGGTAAATGTGAGCTCCCTGATAGCCTTTGAGCGAGCAGAATTCAGGTGCCAAAGGCTGAGTAAATTATGCAAATGGTACTGGTAGGATGGCTGAAATCATTTGAAACCCTCTTTAAAGACTGAAATTCTTGCATAAACAAAAGGTTTGTATGTGCTGCTCTTTTAAAAAGGTTGTTAATGAAAGCAGAAAAATGGTAATGCCAGAGGAAGATATCAGGGATTCATCCCATTCTTACAGGAAAATAGTTCCTTGTGCTTTCCAGTTAGCTTTCCAAGAGCAAAAGGATAGGACAGTGCTCTGCTCCAGAGAGTGGAGCTGAAGGTATAGAGATGGGAGAGGGATGCCACCTTTGACAACTGTTGGTGTGGCAGCAATTCCTCCTGTGGGACAGAACGGCTAACGGACAGATGGGTCAGAATGCGAATTCCCTATCTCAGAGAGTAGGGAGGGCTCCCTGCGGCCTCCTCCCTCCAGGAGGTGGGGACAAGGTGGAGCAAGGATTGCGAGAGGAGGAGCTCCCTCATCACCACAAGTCCGGTCGCGTCCAGTCTCGCCTGGGCGCCGAGGAAAAGCTCTCCTAATCGCCGCCACTAGAGTAGCCTGTCCTGGTGCCCCAGTGCCCTGCCCCCATCCAGTCATGACCCTGCGCCCCTTATTCCTGCCCCTCCATCTCCTGCTGCTGCTGCTCAGTGGGGCGATGTGCCGGGCTGAGGCTGGGTTCGAAACCGAAAGTCCCGTCCGGACCCTCCAAGTGGAGACTTTGGTGAGGAGATGGGCCAGAACCTGTGGGGGAACTCCAGGATCTAAACGAACCTGGGAGTGGGGAAGAGAAGAAGTGTGGGAACTGAGTTGGATGGTGCTGGGTCTAGGGGAGAGAACTAGATCTTTGGAGGAGCTTCCGTGACCCTTGTAGTCCGATCGTAGGTGGAGCCCCCCGAACCGTGTGCGGAACCCGCTGCTTTTGGAGACACGCTCCACATACATTACACGGTGAGGGGCACAAGGGGTTGGGGCGGGGCTTAGGAGGGGCGGGGCATTGCTGAAACACGTCAGCTTTGGCTTGGACACGTGGCAAGCGGTTTGGAAGGAAAAATTCAGGCTCTGGGGTCGTAGAGCACGTGGCGGGGGGAGGGGCGCCCCTCTTTCCTGCCTATTTCCCCTTGGTGCTTTTCCTCCAATTCCTCCTTGGCACTGAGAAACGTAGGGTGGAGAGGTCTCTAGTAAGTGCCAGCCCTTTGGGACTTCCTGTTCCTTTTTGCCCTGGGGGGGATAAACTGCAGCAGTAAGGGGGTTGCCGCCACCTTGCGGTCCAGGTGTGTGTTGCCGCCTCCTTAAGAGGTACTAGGTATGTGCTCTTGACGCTCTCTCCCAACCAGGGTACCTTGATAGATGGACGCATTATTGACACCTCTCTGACCAGAGATCCTCTGGTTATAGAACTTGGCCAAAAGCAGGTGATTCCAGGTATGTGACCTGTGCCTCTCATTTCACCTCTTCCCAACCTATGCCCTTACTTGGCCTCTTCAACCCCTAAGTTGCCCAGGAAAGGCCTCCTGGAATAAGACCCCAGGGCTCTTCCAGTTACTTCCTAAGATTTAAGCCTCACTTCTAATACTTCTCTTACCCCATACCCCATTGGAAACCAGGAATTTGAGAAGTGGGGAAGACTAAATTGAGAGTTAAGTGTGAACCTCTGATCTTTCTCTTGGGTGATTTGGTAAATGTGAGTAGCTTCCAGTAAGTTATGTCTTCTTCCTCAAGGTCTGGAGCAGAGCCTTCTAGACATGTGTGTAGGGTGAGTATCTGGGAAGAGGGTATAGGAGGGTGGGTATCCCCTTTCCCTGGGTAGAGGTTTTCTCTGCCATCCTGCTCCTGCAGGAGTCAGTAGAATGTGGGATAAAGGACTGTGGCTTCACATTGGATAGGTCCATGTCAGTAGGCCTTCTGAGGGCGTCTAAAACCCGTGCCCCTCTGGTTTTGTTGGAGGAGTTGGGGTTGTGGGGAGATGGACACTTTTGCTGTTAGGCACACAGGTGGGAAAGTTCATGTTTTGGGTATAAATATACAAGGGGTTTTGCTGACTGAGGGTACTGGCCCACCTTCCCACCTCTGGCTGTGACTTACATTCCTTCCCTCAGAGAGAAGCGAAGGGCAATCATCCCTTCTCACTTGGCCTATGGAAAACGGGGATTTCCACCATCTGTCCCAGGTAATCTGACTAGGTCTTTCTCTCAGGCCATCAAAAAACCAGTCCCTACAAGGAATTAATTTTTTTTTTTTTTTTTGTCTGGAGCTTGAGAAGGTCCAGATCAGGTTTGCTGAAAGGGACAGGAGTGTCTGGGGCCTCCTTCTGCAGAGCCACTTTTTTTTTTTTTTTTCTGCTCAGGTCACCAATAGAGACTACAAACATCACCTGTTAAGGCTACCTCTGGCAGCTGGCATATTTTTAGGGAAGAGATACCTGCTTGACCTACATGGGTCTGCTGCTTATATTACTACTTTCAGAATAGTCAAGGAACTAAAAAAAAGCAATCTTTAAAAGCCAAGTCTACCCCATAACTTGGAAAACTCTTATAAATCATTATTGTATCTATTTTTTTTTTTAAAAAAATTAGTTATGTATGGACTTAATGCATTTATTTGTTTTTATGTGGTGCTAGGATTGAACCCAGTGCCTCACGCTCAGCTACAACTGAGTTGAGGCTCCCATTGAGCCACAATTGCACCCCTATTATATCTATTTTTAAAAGGCTGATACTGGACAGATTTCCCAAAAGACATATCTTTTGCTTTTCGTTATAACAAATGTTCTATTAGCTAAAATGTGTTTTATTCCACAGAGCATTGAGAACATAATTCCTATCCTAGTCCCAGCTAGAGGAAGGTCTGGAAAGAGGGTAGGGGGACTAGAGAGAAACTATTTTAGCCAATGTTCTATTACTTCCCAATTCACAGTACTGCTTATTTGCTTCTTTGTATACCTCTCCCTTCCCATTCACTCCTCTTCCACCTGCCCCTATTTGTTTGTTTATGGTACTGGGGATGGAATCCAGGGCCACTCTATCACTGGGCTATACCCATACCCCCAGCCTTTTTTATTTTTTGAGACAGGGTCTCATGAAGTTGCCCAGGCTGGCCCTAACTTGTGATCCTCCTGCCTCAGCTTCTTGTGTACAGGTGTGCACTACCACATCTAGCTAAACTATTGTTTTTCTTTTCCTTTCTTTCTTTTCTTTTCTTTTGTAAGTTTTCTTTCTTTATTTTTTTTTTTAGTTGTTGATGGACCTTTATTTATATGTGGTGCTGATAACCAAACCCAGTGCCTCACACATGCTAGGCAAGCGCTCTACCACTGAGCTATAGCCCCAGCCCCAAACTACTGTTTTTCTAATAATCACATTGAATGTGCTCATTGGTTGGTGGAATTTTAAAATTATCTACTTTAAATCCAGTTAATTTCAGCTCTGCAATGATTCTGTCCATATGGCTCTTTGGAAAATGGGTATAGGTAGTATAGAGGGTTCTTTTATAAATGGAGAACAGCCTATATATTTCATATTCATAATTTTCCTGTGCTGTCAAAGACCTCACTGAACCCAAGCCATACATGTAGTTGGGGTCAATATGACTGTTACTAGACTCTGCTTATAACCCTCCTCTGCCTTTGTCTAAGGGAACTCAACCCCACATTTAAGTCTTGCCAGCTTCATAGTTGGCTTTGCTATAGCCAGCCCTTCCTGTTTTCATTCATATTCAAAGCCCCAGATAAAATGCACAAGAGATTCTAATCCTCACCTCCCCTCTGCCTCTCCAGCGGATGCAGTGTTGCAGTATGACGTGGAGCTGATTGCACTGATCCGAGCCAACTACTGGCAAAAGCTGGTGAAGGGCATTTTGCCTCTGGTAGGCATGGCCATGGTGCCAGGCCTCCTGTGTCTCATTGGGTTTCACCTATACAAAAAGGCCAACACACCCAAAGTCTCCAAAAAGAAGCTCAAGGAAGAAAAACGAAACAAGAGTAAAAAGAAATAAATTATAGTACTTTTTAAAGAGGTTTGTATTCTTCACCTGATACTTTCTGAAGCTGCTTTTTGTAAGTGGGAATGAGGTGAAGGGCTGAGAAAAAAAGGCATTCTGGAGTTGGATCTTGCCTGGCAAGGGGGGGTGGTTGGAAGCCTTAGGTCACCTCTTCCCCTGACCACCACTTGCTGTCCTAATATACCCCAAAGATCTGCCCATAGGATCTGCTCACTTGGCCTCTAGGTCCTTAAGGTTTTGGTATGAGCTCCCATGGTACCACAACACCAAAGAGCTGTGCTTCACTGCGTCATTGCCTTCCTATTTTCTCTGCTCCCCAGGATGGCAGTATTCCTAGTGTCTTCAAAGTGAACTGCTCTGTCCAAGACAGCAAAAATATAAGGAGTTCATAAACTCCATGGAAGTTTTTAATAGCAAAGCACTTGGGTCTCAAAAAAAAAATTTTTTTTTTCTTTGAAGTTGGAAAGACGTGTCCTCCCTTGGATCACAGGGTGTGGGAGATGATGTGGGCTGCTTCAATGATATTATAAGTAGTTGGAGGTGGTTTGTCACCTGACTGAGCAGTAGATGTGGACAAGGGTTGGGATAAGTTGCTTTGATGGTTGACTATGAAGAGTGGGTTAAACTTGCTCAACACTTCATCACTCACGGAGATGCCATCCAAGTACTGCTTGAGCATCTCCCGAAGCTTCCCATTAATTTCCAGCAGCTGGGCTCGTCTGTGTTGGAGGCTCAGTTGCTCCAGTTTCACCTTGTTGTACCTTTTCCAGAAATTCTCCATCCCTACGTAGTCAGCCATCACCTGGTAATTGAGTTAGAGAGGAAAAGTGTACTTCAGGACCCAGTAGCAAATGCTATCCCAAAGCCTATCCTCTCCCAGCCCTTACCTTCACAAGTTCCATAGTAAGCTCTTCAGGATTTTGTTCCTCATTCTCCTCCTGCATATTAGCTGTCAATACTGATGAATAAAAAGGCAGCACTTTCTCTTCCTCTGTTTCATATTTTCTACATATTTCAGCAAGTTTAAGGATCTTTTCACCCTGTTGGAAGCAGGAACAGACTTCATTAGGAAAGGGCTAAGAGGGAAATAGTGGAGTTAGTTCCCTGCATGAAACAACTCCAGGGGAACTTCTTATTAAAATGAGAGACAACAGTAATAAATACATCTAACACCTAGTGCTTACCATGTGCCAAGCACTGGTCTAAGTATTTCATATTTTTATTAAATTAAGCTGTTATTATTTAATTTAAAATGTATGAGGGGAGGAGAGAGAATAATGAAGATATTCCTAGTGTTCACTTAAGCTTAGGAAGCACGAGGAAACCCTCCTCTACTTCTAAGTTCCTTTCACCTCAAGCAGTTTATTTGCCTTTGTTCTGACTGTCCTCTCCCCTTTATTACCTTATCAACGATCTTTTTCAAGGCCTTGAGGGTGGCATTACTTTCCAGGGTGAGCTTGACTAAGTTCTCCTGGGATACCTCTCGGGCCTGCATCCTTTGAGCCTTAAGTTTTCGCAGTTGTATAAGGACCAACTCCTTGTCATTACGGATATACTGGTTCTGATCTTCACTCTCACGACTATGCAGCATGATTCTGCCTTTTGAAATAGTTATGGCCTCCTGGACAGACAGAGTAGACAGGAAACACTTGACCAGAGGAGGGTCTTTATTGACACAGGAAAAGGGCAGCCTGGGAACTGAAATCAGAGTATATCATCTTTTCTCACCCAGTGGAGTAATGAGACCCAGTGGGAACTGGGGAAAGGGGAATAATGGAGTAGTGTAAGTAGCATTTTTGGATGGTGATACTACCTGTAGTTTCTGTATTTTTTTCATTTGTGCTTCAATTTCTTTGGAGCTCTTCTCGTCCTTCACCTTTAAGGTTTCAAAGGCAATTTTCCGGTCCTCTGTGGCATCAGTATAATTCTTGAGTGCTTCTTGGAACCTTCTCCACAGATCTTCTACTACATTCTCTAGTTGTATTCGTAGAAAGTGCTTCTCTTCTAAGTTCTAGGAAGTTCCCCCCCCCAAATACCCAATGTTTAAAATTATGCTACTAATGCCCTTTATTTCCACCATAAACCTCATGTTTTGAACTGTTAATAGTATTAATCAGTGCAGCAATCACCAATCAAAATGCCCATAAAGACCAGGAAGATAATATAAGAAAGTATTGTGGGCTGAGTGGTCCTGTAGTGAACTTGAGCTCCTACAACTCCACATGAATGCTGCCATTTGGAAACATGGCCCAGTGTTGCCACTAGATCTTTAAATTTTTCAAGGGAAGTCAAAAATTTAGATTTTTATGTGAAATATTTTCAATTTCTAAATATAGAAAATGTATTCAAAGTTTTTATAAAACATTGACATAACATGAAAACAAGAACCCCACCAGGCATAGTGGCACATGCCTCTAATCCCAGCAACTTGGGAGGCTGAGGCAGGAGGATTTTAAGTTCCATGCCAACCTCAGCAACTTAGCAAGACCCTGTCTCAGTAAAAAGAGTTGGGGATATAACTCAGTGGTAAATTGCTCCTGATTTCAATTCCCAGTACCAAAATAAAAATAAAAGCAAAAAACAAAACAAAAAAAAACCCTATACCTAAACCTAGGTCTGTGGAGTAGTTAAGTTTGTAATCTCCAATATGGTAGAAAGCATTTTGGGCTAAGTGGCAGGAGACCTAGATTAATTCTTCTGGCTCTACCACAAATCAGAAGCGTGAGTCTGGCGGGTCATTTATTTATTTGGATCTTAGTATCTTCATCTGTAGTTCAGAGGAAGCCAGATGATCTCCTTGTTGCTTTTTAAGCTCCAAAATGCATTTTAGAATGATCTTCCTTCCTGACCAGTTTTTACAAAATTACAAAAAGCAGTTGAATCAACTACAGTGGCACACCCTTTTATTGACTGTTGGTTACAGGGTTCTCTTCTGTCACTAGTAGCTTGAACAGTTTTTCTCTTACTTCTCTCCCAGTTCCTGTCCCATTAATCCCCTTCTATACCTTGTTTTTGAGATCATCCCACATGCTTTGGAACTCCAACTTGCTTTCATACTCAGAATCTATATAGTTCTGCTCCATGGCCATGAAGACATCTTGTAGATAGTGAATCTCTTTCTCATGTTGGTCAATAATTGTCTTCCTATAGGAGACAAGATATTGTCCTTGCTGCAATGGATACAGCATATGGACCAATAATGACAATTTAAAGCAGTAGTAATAAAACTGTATGAATGGTACAAACTCTTTGATACTGACAGAGAACAGAGAGAGGGTGGGCTCTACATTTTTATGGCCAGAGAGAATAAGATTATTTTATTTTGATTTTTGAATAGGCAATACATTAATACAAATATAAATATAAGTGAAGTCTCCCTCCCAAATCTGTCTGCTGTGAGATGGGTAGGATTCTGATATTTGAAAGTAGATGGTAAGGGCATTTTGATGCCAGGTGGTGGTGGGTGTGTGTGTGTGTGTGTGTGTAGGGATATGGGGCGTGGGGGAAGGGGTAAAGGAAAGCAAAGGCTGTAAGGTGAACCTGAATTTGTTTAGAACAAACTCAGAATGTTCTCTGTTGTGGGTCATGTCATAATAAAAGTGGAATGCTTCCAGGTACTGGCCACCTGCTTACAAGCAGCTCCTTCACACAGAACAGTCACTCCCCTGGATTCAGTCCCCTATCTTCTCTTGGGACCCATACCTTTCTGTCTCAAACTCCTTGGTTAGGACCTCCAGCTCATTGTTGTAATTTTCCTCCAGGAGGTGGAGCCGGTGCCTCTGCAGGGCCAAGAGCTGGTCAATGTTGTGCAAGTGGCTGCGTAGGGCATGGGCATACTGCTCCTCAGCTTCTGATAGGTCCTTAGCTAAAGACTGGACAGGAAAACAGAGTTACCATTCTGGTCAGCATGGGCATACTGCTCCTCAGCTTCTGATAGGTCCTTAGCTAAAGACTGGACAGGAAAAACAGAGTTACCATTCTGGTCAAATGGCATCTGTGTGAGAAAATAAAAATGTATTCAGCTGGCTAGCTGGATGACATGATGGCATTTTTTTCCCTCAGTTTCTAATGCCAAGACTTTGGCTTTGTAAGTACTGGTTCACTCACTTTTTTTTTTTTTTTTTAATGGTACCAAGAATTGAACCCAGGGGAATTTAACCACCAAACCACATCCCCAGTCCCCCTTTTTTATGTTTTATTTTGAGTCTGGGTCTTGCTAAGTTGCTTAGGGCCTACGTTGCTGAGGCTGGCTTTGAATGCACTATGTTCCTGCCTCAGCCTCCCGAGCCAGTGGGATTATAGGTGTATGCCACCATGCCTGGCACCTACTCACTCTTGAATGTAAAGCAAGGATGATGTCAGGGATCCCCAATATCCTGTGGACAACAAATATTTACAATGATGGGGCCACCACTACATGGAATCAGGGTTTTTGGAGAAATGATCACTTGGAAGTTTTATGCAGAAAATAAGTTGAACCTAGGGTATCTTATCACAAAAGATCATTAAGAAGCTATCAACAGCCAATATAGTCATGTCATAAGGTCTCAGGAACCATTATGAAATATATATAGTAGATTATATTTTACAAACATAAGCACAGCAGTATCTCCCATCTGATAATTTCCTGTAACATGATCTTGCCAATCCATTTCTGTAATATGACCTTGCCATCAAAAAGTAGACTCTTTTTCCATCATCTTGAATTTGGGAAGACTCTGACTCCCTGGATCAATAGAATATGGTGGAAGTGACCCTGTGCCAGTTCCAAGCATAGCCCTTTATGTGTCCTGGCAACTTCTGCTTCCTTCCCTTTGGGATGCTCCCTTTAGGAACCTAGCTGTCGTGCTGTGAGAAGCCCAGTTTACACAGGGGTCACAGGAAAGTTATATAGCAATAGATAACTGGTTGAACTCCTCTGACAGCCAGAATCAAGAGCCAGCCATCTAGGACATCTAGCCATCAGGCCTAGTTGAATACAGCACCAGCTGACATCTGACTGAAAACTAACC